GGAAAAGCGGGGGGGGGGCGGGGGGGGGGGGGGGGGGGGAAGAAATGAGCCGCCTCCCGTTGCCTTGACCCAGCAGAGGAGAGGTTGGGGCTGGCAGGGTGACATCTGCCAGCTCCAGGGCTCCAAGGCTCTGCAATCTGCTGCCTGCCTTTGCCGACAATTAATGCCACGTAATGCCACTAACCCTTGTGAGCTTGCAATGAGTCTCCTGGTATTCGGTGTATCTGGTAAAGAGCCGGCTCCCGGCAGCAGCTGACGAGGTGAGACTCCTGGCTTTCATTTCCGAAACGAAGGACGTTTCTAGCTCTGGGTTACAGGGAAACACTTAAACGTGTGACCCTAAGTACAGGCGAGGTCTGAGAAGCCAGAGGGCAAACAGAGAGAGCCTGGCATGTCGTCTTCCTTCTTTTTAGTGTTAAGGTTCGTGATGTTTAAGGCACCTCACCATTTGGGGGTCCTGACTCATGAGTGTGAAGCGTTTGGGGCTGGCGATTCTGGCTGTAGTCCCATGTGGGGACTTTCTAGGCATGCGGCAGAAGGGTGTTTGGAGAGGGCTGAGGCTGTCCACGCAGGGATGGGAAGGAGTTTCTGGAGGTGGCAGGCTGAGCAGAACATGTGAGTGCTGCTGAGATTGTGTTGTGTTGTGTGCAAGGTGTGTCAGGGCATCTGGGGCCAGAGTTTTACAAGTGTTTAGGTGCCTAAAGATGCAGACGCACCTAATGGGATTTTCAAATGAACCTGTGTGTCTTTGATGCCTAAATGCCTTTCACAAGCTAGCCCAGAGCCTTGCAAAGGCAGGACACTGGTTGTTTTAAAAACTGAAATAGATTTAAACAGTCCGTGACCTTGATCATGGTAACGTGCTTGATTTTTAAGAACATAAGTGCCGGGCTAGCCCTGGAGCACGTGGGGATCAGCTGTTTCATTGATATTGCTAGCACAGCGCTTTTAGACAGCTAAGAGAGGCTGAAATCCTGTGCTGAAGGCGGGCGCTTGGCGACCTTTCCCAGTTATTTTCGCTAGTTGCAGTACCCGGAATTGGCATTAGAGGACAGTGTAATGATTCTCATTGGGGCTGGCTGTGCTTTGTGAGACAGTTCTCGGAGCAGTGAGCCCAACTCACACCTCAGTGGCCGTGGCGGTGCCTCCAGAGCAGCTGGCGTGCCTTGGCGCTCTGTGGGCTTGCGGGATTGAGATTACAGCCATGTGAATAAGGGAGAATTCGGTTTGTCAGCCACTCCGAAAAATTGGGGGGAAAATAGTCTTGGGCTGGTCCCAAACCAAACGGTTTTTGTTAAATTGTCACAAACCGTCGTGTTTTGCTTCACAGAATGTGGTGAATGGTTTCACATCAAATGAAGGGGAATGTCGAACCACCAGGCCATCCTGAGGGGAGGGGCCGAGTCGTGGCGCTGGGCTGGTGCATCTGTAGCACTGGCTGAGCAGGCAGCATGGCCACTGCCTACAGAAAGAGCTTTGCTGAGTAACTCTGGCTTTGCTTGAGAACTATTAATGGACAGGAAATCTCCCTTTCCGCTCCCCCCCATGTTTCAATGGCCATTGAACTTTGGAGGAAATGTGCCCGCTGACCAGAGACCCCTTAGCCTATATGTGCCTTTGCTCAGCTTCACCTGCTGTTGACACGTGGCGATGAATTCAGCCCCTTCTCCAAGCGGTGGTGCGAGTGCTGGGCCTGTTTCTTCCCTCTGACACCCCAGTTTCCCCCAGGCACCACTGGCTCCCCTCCAGTGGAGTGACACGGCGTCACACCTCGCAAGAGATGTTCTGCAGGTAATGCCGCCATTACAGCTGCGCAGACAACCGCGTTGGGGTCGCTGGCCACTGAGAACCGGGGCCTGGGGATTTTGGTGAATGTGGACTTTTATTCAGACATCTTGCAGGGGGTACGTCAGCTCATCTGTACATTTGCCTAGTTTTACCTCAGGCAACATAAAAGCACTAGCAAATTCAGGGCACGCACGTGTTTCTGACAGCGACTGCTCTGTAGAGCACACGCTGAAGTATAAGTGCAATATTTCTATTCCAGTCGATTTCATTTTATAATTACACGGCAAAGAGAAGAGGCACTTTGTCAGCCCCAGTGTGCCGGGTCACATGCGTCTTTCTGTGTGCGATTTGTAAGGCGCAGCGCTTCAGTGAGATGTAACTTGGGGGATGTGGGACCAGTCAGTCTCCTGGGAGGGACCCAGGCGTACGGAGAGCTGCTGGGCCAGACAGAGGCTCTCCCAGGATGGCTGTTCTCATGACCGTGCTGGTAGGAATTCATTTGTGTTTTCCACACACGGTCGCTAAGAGTTTTGGTCACCAGCAATGGGAATGTTTCAAGGGCACGTTTGAAATGGTGGGTGTAGAGATCTCTGCCCTCAGGGCTGCCCCTTCTAGCCAAGCCTAGGAAAACCCATGAGCGGCCCAGCCCTGTGCCCATGGAGCCAGTGCTCTTGTGCGGCTGTGGAAAGAGCCGACGCGTTTGCAGGGGCGCGGTAGCTGCACTGACGTGCGTTGCCTTTTGGGGGGCCAGAGATTTTGTGCCCCACGACTGCTCTGCAGCATGGGCAGCGTTGCTCAATGGCTGCCGTGCGACAGAGCCAACGCGCCGACTGGTAACCGCACGGGTGGTAGCCATGGGAGCGCAGAGGCGGAGTCTTCCTCTCGTGGCGGCGTCCTTTTGGGGACATGGTGGGAAGTTCTCCCAAGATGCTCTGCTGGTCTCTTCTGGCCTGCAGCTCTCTGGCTGCCCCTGCATCTCCCCCATTCCCTGTCCCTGGGAGGGGTGGCGCTTGCTTCCCCTGACCTGTCTCTCAGTCCAGGGGCCCAGAGGGAGTCAGCCGTGGGTGGTTACTGGGACGGAGCTGTGCAGAACTTGGCAGCTCTGTGTCCACCTGCTCTCATGCCCTGGCCGTCTGAACACACCAGCAGCGTGGGAGGGTAGCGAGCGAGGATTGCACCTAGTTCCGGGGCAAGAATTGTAAATCTGAGCTGGGTGCTCTCAGAAAGCTCTGTTCTAGCTGCCCCGTGGGTTCCTGAGCTTCCTGCCTTCCCGGGGGAGGGTCTGCAGAACGTCAGACCAGAGACCCCAGTGCCAGGCCTGGCTGGACAGTCTGACTTAACTCTGCCATCAGCCCACTGGAGTGACAGAGAAACCCAGCTGACCTTAACGATAAAGAGTCTCTCTTCAATGGATTTTGCTCCTTTCGCTTTCTCTTTGAAGCTCACAAAGGCCGAGTGGGTTCCTGATTTTGGCTCCGCATCCTTCGTTCCAAGATGGGGAGCCACAGTCACTGGTGCACGCACGTTCCTCATTGCGTACAACATCAACCTCCTGTGCACAAAGGAGCTGGCACATCGGATTGCTCTCAACATCCGGGAGCAGGGCCGCGCGAAGGACCAGGTATGCCCAGCAGCTGCTATTCAGGGTAATCAGGCCTCCCTGCGAGAGGGCTCTGGACAGCCAGAGCCATGGCTCGGCAATGAGCAAACGAATAAATCCCTCTCCCACGCACTCCGAATGCCACAGTGCTTGTCTTCCTTCACAGCACAGTACCTGGCGGCTGCTGCTTGTGGGTCATCCCTGAACCCGAACACAGCAGCTGTGACCTCCGGGTGCGTCCTCTGCCACGGGCGTATTCCCAGGGCCACGTTGGCTCGCCAGCCGTCCCAGGTCTAAAGTGTGGTGTTCTTTGCAGCCCGGGCGTCTGAAGAAGGTCCAGGCCATGGGCTGGTACTTGGATGAGGAGAATATTGCCCAAGTGTCTACAAACCTGCTGGACTTTGAAATCACCTCCCTGTACACGGTCTTTGAGGAGGTCCGCAAAGACGCCCAGGTGAGTGGCACAGGTGCCGTGCAAGGCTTAAGCAACCCGCCTCCTTCAATGACGTCAAATGACAGTCGACGTGCCCGGGGCTGGTGGAGCAGGACTAAGTCCTCGCGCCTGCGCTGTAAGAGCTCGTTGGCAGGCGGTGCGCACGGGCACGCACAGGGAGCCACGACCTACCCGCCTTAGGGAACGAGGGGAGCAGGCGTGGGCCTCGTGACCCCCCGGCTGGCAGTCAGATGGCATGGGACAGCGGCATGGCCACTTTGCTGGCTGACGCTTAAGGAAGTGCTGGACGCCAAGCTTATTTGTGGGGTCCCCTCTGCCTCTGTACCCTAGGAAGGGGCCACTCGTGTCCGGTGCACCCCTCGGCATGGGTCGGCAGTGGGAGAGGTGGCCACGCAGTGGGGCTGCAACGAGGGTTGTTAAATACTAGTCCTCGTGTGCAGGAGCTGACCCTGCCTGTGGTGGGCTCCCAGCTGGTGGGGCTTGTTCCCAAGAAGGCCATGCTCGACGCGGCGGAGTATTACATTCAGAAAGAGAACCTCTTCATCCTGGAGGAGGAACAGAAAATCCGACTGGTAAGGCCAAAGTCCACTGACATCCCTGCTCGGAGACCTGTCCCTGGAGACAGCTGCAAATGACGAATTTATCTCCCTTCGTTTCAGGTAGTCAGCCGTCTGGGCCTGGACTCCTTGTCTCCATTTAACCCCCAGGAGCGCATTATCGAGTATGGCCACCTTGCCCCTTTTCTTTGCCACTCTCCTTGTTTGCACTATGCACGGCTGAGGGGGCCAGGGAGTCTGTAGCCTCCATCTGCTCATGAGCCTCTGAGAGTAGCTGTTGACTCAATTTGCTGTCACTCTGCCAGAGCCCAAAGTAGCACAGTCTTCCTGGAATGCCATTGGGAACTCATTTCTGTTCCTGAGGGGTTTATAATGCTCCTGGCTGCCCAATGAAATGTTGATTTCAACAACTTTTTTTCTGGGGAAAACATCAAAAATAATCATTTTGGTTTTCTCATTTTGTTTCAATGATGTTGAAGTGTTCCATTTTGATAAGGTAAAAAGCAGGGCTGTCAATCTCTCTGTTAATCAATTCAAAAAATTAATCACCTTTAAAAAATTAATTGTGGTTAAGTGTATTTTTAATTGTACTGCTAAACAATAGAGCACCAATTGAAATGTATTGAGTATTTTGGATGTTTTTCTATATTTTTAGTACAACACATAATACAAAGTGTACAATGCTCACTATTATTTTTGTTACAAATATTTGAACTGTAAAAATGATAAATAGTATTTTAAAATTTACCTCATACTAGTACAGTTGTGCAATCTCTTCATTCGTAAGCTGCACTTTCACAATATAGATTGTTACATAACTGGATCAGAAACAAAACTAATAAGACTCTAGCACTAGAGACAACAAGTCCACTCAGTCCTACTTCTTGTTCTGCCAGTTGCTAAGAGAAACAAATGTGTTTACATTTGCGGGAGAGAGTGCTGCTCCTTTTTATTTACAGTGTCACCTGAAAATGAGAACAGGCGTGTGTATGGCACTGTTGTAGCAGGCATTGCTAAACATTTGTGTGCCCCTTTGTGCTTCAGCCACCCTTCCAGAGAACATGTTTCCATGCAGATGATGCTCATTAAATGAATACTGCATTAACTACATTTGTAATCAAACTCCTTGGGAGAGAAGTGGATGTCTCCTGCTGTGTTTTACCGCATTATGCCATAGATACCGTGTCGTAACAGCCTCATCCAGATAATGACCCAGCACATGTTCATTTTAAGAACACTTTCAGTGCAGATTTGACAAATGCAAAGAAGGTACCAATGTGAGACTTCTAAACACAGCGACAGCACTCCACCCAAGGGGTAAGAATCCACGGGATGACGTGTGGGGCATGCTTTCAGAAGTCTTAAAAGAGCAACAGCCTGATGAGGAAACTACAAAAACCAAACCACCTAAAAAGAGAATCAACCTTCTGCGGGTGGCATCTGAGCCAGATGCTGAAAATGAGCATACGCTGGCCCTCAATGCTTTGGATCGTTATCGAGCAGAGCCTGTTAGCACGATGAACACATCCTCTGGAATGGTGGGTGAAGCATGAAGGGACGTACGCATCTTTAGTGCAGCTGGCATTTTGTGATGCCGGCTTCAACCGTGCCACGCAAACGCTTGTTCTCACCTTCAGATGGCACTGTAAGCAAGCCATGGGCAGCATTATTGCCTGCAACTATAAACAAGCATTTATTTGAGTGGCCGAGGAGTAGGACCGAGTAGACGTGTAGACTCTAACGTTCTACTTGTTTTCTTTCCAAATGCAGGTTCTTTGTACATAATTCTACATTTCTAAGTTCAACTTTAATGCTAAAGAGATTGCACTGCAGTTCTGGTATTAAGTGGGTTGAAAAGTACCTTTTTTTGTTTGTTTTTTACAGTGCACACACCTGTAATATAAAATGAGCACTGTCCATTTTGGATTCTGTGTTGTAATTGAAATCAGTAGATTTGAAAATGTAGAAAACATCAAAAATATTTACAATAGATGTTATTCTATTATTGTATAATATTGCAAACAGTCAGCGATTAATCCCAATTTTTAACTGAAAAATTAATCACGATTTTAATTGCTTGAGTGGTCGCAAAAAGGTTTTGTTTCAACTTTCTCTCTTAAAATCAAAACAAAATGTAATGACAATAGGTTTAATATTTGACTTGCATATGACATATTAAAATAAGGTGGAACACTATCAGAATGACACATTTTTACCTTATCAAAACGAAACAATTGGGCGTTATAGAAATGAAACTCGTCCGTGGCCCTAGATCACAATTCCGTGGAACGTTGTTAGCAAGACAGCGCAGCACAAGGACTTCTGGAGCTCTGGTCATTATGAGGGGCTCCGGGGCCAGCTCTGCTCAGAGTGGCGAAGGGGCTTTTGAGAGGGGAAGAGCTGGCGGTTTGTGGGGATGGCTCACGCACTGCAGGAGAGAGGAACAATCCCTCCTTCCAGGCTCCCCACGGCCCTGGCTGCCCGGCTTTCCCCCTGCGGAGACTGCTGGAGGCAGCTTCCCCGCATTGCTTGATGCGAGCAGGGCTGAGCTGGCCTGCTTGGCTGTTGGCAGGTACCTGGTGCAGAGCGGCCAGGCAGACGGAGGCCTGGTGTCCAAGTCCCTGCGCGCCTTCGTGCATGCCGTGGGCGCACGCTCCGCAGCGCCCGGGGGAGGATCGGTGGCTGCAGCGATGGCTGCTCTGGTAGGTCCGCGCCTCGCTCTCCCGCGGGTACCGCAGACTGGGGCGCTTGCGCCGGGTTTAAGGTGGGGTGGGAGCCCACGCGAGTCCAGCGCTGACGCCGCCCACGAGGGAGCCGCCAGAGAAACGGCAGCACTGTCAGGAGCTGGAGTTGCTTCCTGGGAGGTTCTCTTAACGGGCCCAGCACATCCAGCCTGAGCCCCCATCCAGAAACTGCACGTCGCTCCGGGGCCCCGGGGCAACGCTTCCCCTCTCACAAGCCCCAGCACCCTGCCCTGCACATAGTCTGCGGGGGCTCAGCGGGCTGGTTTGGGACCCTGGCAACACCGAGCGGGTTCCCACCCCAGCCGAAGAGCAACAGACACGGCCCCAGCTCCGCTCCGGGAGCACTCAGCGATGGGCTGCTGGCAGTGCCCAGGGCACCCCAATCCGAGCGCGCTCAGGGCAGCTCTCTTCGGATGGAAGGAGGCGCACTGTGCTTGCCCCTCCAGGTAACGGGTATTTACCTGGGGCCTGACAATAAACAAAAGTGGTTTTATCGAATGTGCGCCCATCGGCCGTACGTGACTGCAAGGGGAGACAGGCTGCGCCAAGGCAAATCCAGCACGGCGCGAATTCGAATCCCTAAGCAACTCCCCTGATCTCCTCTCTGGGCCTGAGCCTTCCTCCTTCTCAGCCTGTTTCCAGCAGGCATCTTAGGTGGTAAGTAAGGGTCTCCTGGCATCGGGCACCTGCCCCATTGCTGTGCCCCTTTGCCACAGGCAGGAATCCTTGGTGCTCAGGTCACACGTTCCTCCCCTCGAGTGGGAAAGCCCCAGATCCCAAATGGGTCCCAGCCGCGGGCGGCCTGTAGGACTAGCCTCAGTTTGCACTCACAGGACAAACCAAACCATCCCCAGGGCACTGGCCTGATCGCCCAGCCAGCAAAGGTATCGCGAATGACTTACCAGAAGACAGGACTGATACAACCGGTTCCCGCTGCCTGCAAGACAGAGCCATGCCCACGGAGAGGGCACACGCAGCCGGGGCCAGGCTTCCCGGTGGTTACATGACCTGCCTGGCATTATGTTTGTCCAAGTTATGCATATTCATATTCATGAGCCAGTTTCATAAAGCATGGGCTCCCCGGCGGGCATCGCCTTGACAGAAGTCTCGGTGTTGGGGCCAGTGTGGCCACCCAGCTGAGGGTCTGGGGAAGCCCCACACGCTCTAACAGATGGGTGCCCCCGTGCCACAGCTGCCGAGCTGCTCCGTGTGCGCTCCGGGCCGGTGGGCCTGCTGGCACCGGCAAACGGTTCCTTGGCGCCCAGGGAACGTGCTCCGTGGTAAGAGTTGTTCTCCCGCCCTCTCCTGCGTTGCCCTCTGCACCGGGCGGGGCTCCCGGGGCTCCAGCGCTGTGTCCGCAGCACTTCCTAGCTGGTGCTCAGGGCCACGTGGCGCATCGCAGGCACAGCCGGGATGGGCTCTTTGCCTAGCCGAGGTGCTGGCGCAGTGCCATGTGGAGTGGCAGGGGCCACCCACTCCCGTCCCTTTCCCTTGGCGGCTGCAGGGGGCCGTGCACAGGGGGCGTTTTCCGTGTCTCCCTGCAAGGGGGGGGTGGGGGG